ATATTGGGTGGCAAGGGGAGGGGATAGCATAGTCTGGCTGCGCGACCCACGGCCTCACCACCAAGTCGTCGTCGGCAAGGTCCTATTCAGTTTCGGCGCCCGTTTGTCCCATCAGCTGTTGATTCCCAGCCTCGATTGCGGCCTGCCCTGCCCTGCCCCTCCGATCGCCCCGCACACCCCGCCCTTCGTACGCGCCAGACTCCTCGACCCGCGCGCCGCCCGAGTCAAGAGGGAAAAGAATCTGCCGCGTTCACCAGCACGCCGTCGAGACCACGCGCGGCCGGTCCATGAGCGCGGGCCGGCGCGGGCGCAAAGGCGCGCTTACACGGGGCGGGGAACCGCTCGGGCCCACCTTACACAATCACAATCATTCTAGTCGAGCTGAAATTGAAAGACAGGGTGTTCCGTAGAACCAGTACTTTATTTTGGTTATACTGTACCGCTTGCCCACCGTCACTCTCCGTGGCCCCTCATGGCCCCGCATGATATAACGATTATAATAGTTATAAGAGTTACCATCACTACCATGATAGTTTTTTTGAAAAATTGTTTAGCCTATAGTTGCTGTTTCCCTGTATACACGTATACATGGCAGCATTCTGTTTTCTGTAAAAGTTTGCGGCTTTTTTTTGTCAAGGTTGTTTGTTTTCTTCTCCTATGTGGTATGGGTTTTCGTCTTGTAGAAACACACACACACACACACACACACACACACACACTGCCGTCTGGCTGCCGCAGTGCAGATCGCACTGGACCAGTACAGTGCTTCCCTTCTGTCTCTCGCCCCGTCCGTCTCTCGCCTCGCGGCCCGATTGGGTGTGGACCCATAAAACGATTATTAAGTGCGTTAACGACGAGCTGGGTGAGAGGCGGGACGGGCGGAACTTGAGACCGCCACGCCACGCCTCGCCGCACCTCGGCCCGGAGTCGCACCATAACCACAGCACCACCGCAGCCGGGCGCGACCCCTACCTACCTGCGTGGCGTGCTCGTAAACAAACCATGAGACCCTTATGCTGCTTATTAACAGAGACCCGCAAAAACTTTGCGAATAAGACTGCGTTTCTCGTGTTTTTTCCTGTCAAAAGCTTGAAACTGCCCTGCAATATCCACCTTGAGC